GAGCTGGGCAGAGGGGTGCAGCAAGCCAGGATGTGGGGTGCACCCTTGGGGTGCGCTCAGAAATAGGGGGGCAGAAGTGGATCCCCAACCTTGCCAAAGACAGCAGATTGGGGGGCTGGGGTCTTCAGAGGTGAAGGTGTGGTCCCTGCCCCTGGCCATGTGGGTCAGGTTTTTGGGGAGATGCCCAACCCTGCCTTGTGCCCAGCACACACATGCACACATGCGCCCCAACACCTCTTGGTTGATATGGAAACGAGTCAAATTATTTAGAGGAGAAAGAAGGAAAGAAAAAAAAAAGGAAAAAAACCTGGTGTTAAGGCCCGTCGTTATGGAAACACAAATTATAAAAGTAACTAGGCTGGGGACGTGGCACCTTGCTTCGGGGTGCCGGGTGTTGTGCGGGTTCCATCAGCTGGGGGAAGGGTGGGCAAGAGGGCACCCAGGGGCAGGAGGGTACTGTAGACAGGAGGGCATCTAGGGGTAGGATGGTACCATGGCCAAGAGGGCCCAGTAGGCAGAAGGGCATTTGGGGGCAGGAGGGCACTGTGGGCAGGAGGGCATCCAGGGACAGCAGGGGGGATGCTCGTGATGCAGTGCAGGTGAGCTGGGGGCATGGCAGCCCGACCACCACAGGCAGAGGGGAACGTGGCTTGTGCTGGGGGTCCCAGCCCCTGGGAAGGGCTGTTCCCCTTCCCAGGTGAGTGGGATTACTGGTACTGCCTTGGCTGGGATCTGGCACAGAGCAGGGTTTGGCAGCGGGGCAGTAGCGTGTTCCTGGGGATGGACATTCTGCAGCACCACGCTGTGGGTGGCAGAGGAGAACTGTTGGTCATATGCTGGTAATTGGAGAACCTCAACTTGATGGAGATGGGGCCAGGGACCAGGCAGCACAGGATAAGCCCTAAATCCCCAGGGATGAGGCTCTGGCCATCCATATCCCTGTGTAAAGCTCACAGAGACTCGCTCTGTGCCTGGCTGGGGCGTGGATGTCCTCAGAGGCAGCGTGCCAGTGGTGGCACTCCCTTAGCTCTGTGCTGGGTAGCAAACCCACATCCTCTCAGAGTGGCAGTGCTGGGGCTGCAGCGTTCCCATGGCAAAGCCTGTTTGCTGGAGCAGCGCTCAGCTCCCCACTGGGCCAGCTCACCAGCAAGCCCAGATCCTTCTCCCAGGAACTTTTCCACCGATAAGGGTGTTTCAGAGGGTCTGGGCAGTCCCATGGAGCTTTCCTTCCATGGAGAGGTTGAGGGGTGTCCACACGGGGACAGGGCACATGACCCCAAGCTCCCTGAACCCACAGGGCGATAGAAGCGATAAGTCCCCTTGATCCCCCCTTTCAGTTGCAACTTCTGCTCCTCTACAGCCGGGATGTTGCTCCACCAGAGTATGCAGCGTTTCCTGTGCCCGGGTGCGGCTGGGCATGGGTGGCAGGGCTGGCTTCCTTCCCCAATTTTACCCAGCTCCCTTCTTGGCAGCCCAACAGGGCAGTGTCCAGCCCCCAAAGTGGTAGCAGCGATGGGGGTTGGTCCCAGCGGGCAGCAGCCTGCCAGGGTGGGACACAGCCAGATCCCAGTCCCTGTGTTCCTGCAGAGGTAGGGTGGGATGACCGCTGTGCCGGCGCGGTGTTATCCAGTGGCAGCACCTGCAGRGAAGCTGCCCACCTGCCTGCCTCTGACCCTGCTCTCTCCCGCCTGCAGCCACTTCTAACCTGGACCTTGAGAGCAAGAAAGCCGCCCCTGGCAAGCTGCCATGGCAGCAGCCTGTGAACGTCTTCCTGGCGGCCGGGCGCCCACCGGGCATGGAGCAGCTGCACCAGGAGGCCCAGCTCAACCTCCAGAGCTTGCTGCAAGGTAGCGGGGAGAGGGGCCAGGGTGGGCTGGGTGAGGGTGGTGCATGGGTGCTGCCCTGGCTGCATGATCGCCATGACACAGTGAGCTTATCTCCCATGCCCGTGTCCAAGCCGCTCCTCGGACCTCACCGGGCTGCAGAACCCGAGGGTTCCCAGCCTCCGGTAGCTCCTCACTGTTCTCTGCTCCCAAATCACTACTGCAAGTGCCAAAGCAACTGAGGCCAGGACTACCCGCTGGGGCTACTGAGGCCACGGGAGTCACCAGGTCACCCACAAGCCCAACCACAGCGCAGTTCTGCTCACGAGGGCCTCAGGGACCTGCCACCAATCTGCCTAACTGGATCAACGTGGCCAGTGGTTTTGTTTTCTTCCAATCTCTGGCCCAGGCCGTCACGCGGCCCTGGCTCCGATGCTCCGCAGGCATCGATGAGATCAGCAGCCCAGCCATCCCCCAGCTTGTAATCTCATTAAGTCAGCCTGAGCAGCCCTGCTTTCCACCAGTCCACAGCCACTAGCATTAATTAGCTCAACAATTACAGGATGAGGACACAGTGAGTTCCTGGCTGTCCCCAGTGGGGCTCTGCTTCCCAGCAGGACCCACCACATCCCCTGGCAGGCCCCTGGGAGGAGTGGGGCCAGCTGCTGGAATCTTTGTGCTGCTTCAGCCTCCCCCCAGACCCTCCTTGGGATCTCCCTTCCCCAGCTTCTGAGCTGCCTGTCCTGAGCAGGGATGGCCAGCCAGGCTGGGGACAGCCAGAGGGGCCAGTTGCCCCTCTCTTTGCGTGCCCCCTGCCACAGGAGCCGACAGCCAGAGCAGGGTCCCAGCTGTCGTTTTTCTTGCAGAGGAGTATGAGGAGCAGTACACCGAGAGCAGGGTCACTGGGCAGACCTTCCGCACTGCTGGTCACCCCGACACCCCCCCTGAACCGTCACCCCGACCCCCACCTGCCAAGCGTCTTGAGTTCGTGCTTATGGTGAGTGCTGGGGTATGGGGGTGGGCAGCGAGCCCCCATTTGTGTCCCATCCTTGTCCCTTTGGTGGCTGACGTGCCTTTCTCTCCCTTTTCCCCTGCAGCCCCCGAGCCGGCGAACTGCTGAAGAGGAGAGCACCAGTAGCACCCCCCTCAGCGCTCGCCCCCCCGACGCCTCCCTGAGCCTCCCCACCAGCCCGGACAAGCAGCCCCCCTGGCCCAGGGCCTTCCCCCTGCCCCCCGTGGAGGAGAAGCAGTGGCACCAGCCTGGCTCCATCCAGACCAACATTGTCCCCATTAATGTCTCGGGTAGGGTAGCACCCCTTGGCACAGCAGGGGGGACGCAGGGTGAGGGCAGAGATGTGCCCCAGCAGCCTGCTGGGGTGGGGTATGGGGTGGTGGGAGGGGGCTGGGATTGCGAGCTGTGTCCCTGTGGGTCAGGTGGGCACCAGGGCAGAGAGGGGACAGCAGGACCATGATGGTACCCATCATTGCCAGCCATCTCTCATGCCATCCACAACTTTGTGCGTCTGGCCCACCGGCCATGCTTCAGGCAGATCTCAAATCCCTCTTGTGCTGCCCAGCCAGCCAGGTCCATTGTCACCTGGGCTCTTGTCACACACCATGCACCCAGCCTGTCTCACCTTTGTCACCTGTCCGTCCGTCTGTTTGTCCTCTTGGGGCTGCAGCTCCCAGCAGTGCGGTCCTGCCTGGTCCTTGCAGACACAGCTGCTGTGCTCTGCCCCAGGTCAGACTCTGGGGCTGGTGGCTGGGTGAGGTGCCCCTTCTGAAGGGCTGAGGTGTCTGTCTGCCCTTTCCCTCCATCATGAAGAGCTGTGCTGGGGCCACACTGGTCCCTTTCCTCTCTGTGCTTCATGTCCACGTGCCCAGTGTGGCTCAGCACTGTGGTGCAGGGTCCAGCTTCACCAGTGCCTGTCATGCAGCAAGAGTCCAGTCTCAGCAGCCCTCCATCCATCCCCCCTCCATCTGCAGCATCTCCTGCCATGCCTCCATCTCCCCCCCACTCACTTCACATGGCTCACACCGTCCTGCCATCCCACGCTCCAGCCTGTGTCACCATCCCAGGCTGGGGACACGCAGGGGACATGGGTGATGGAGGGGGCAGAGCCCCCGCCCTGGCAGCGGCTCCCAGCACCGCGGTGTACCGCTGTTTGTTTTGGCTACAGGGCAGCACTTTGCTAGGCTCGCGAGTGCTCGTCACTCCCTGTTTAACACAGAGACCGCGATGAACCCAAAGTCCACCCTGCGGCGTAGACGGACCATTATTGGATTCCCTAACCTGTCCCTGCGAGACCAAGGTGATGGCAAGAACCACGCAGGCAGCACCCAGGCAGGGCTGGCACCCCCCAGAGCTGCCCTGATGGGGGGGCACTGGGGACAGCCCCTTCACCCCGAGTCATAATCCTGAGACAGGAGTCACCCAGCCTTGGCCTCAGCAGCTCTGGCCCTGCACCCACCTTCCCCTGTGTGGGCAGACCCTGTGCACAGGGTGCCAGGGCTGTGGGGCACACCCCTGCCCAGGTCTTTGCTGGGGCTGGTGAGCTGACTGCACCAGTGCTGAGGGTGTGCGTGGCTGAGGGAGCCTGCAGTGCTCCTGGGCTGGCATTGGACCCATGGGGACAGCAGCCACCATGGCTCAGGGGCTCTGTCCTGCTGTCCCCTAATGGAAGGTGTAGAAAAATCAGAGCCAGCCTCTCCTTGGAGGCAACTAGGGACAGGGGGGAACCATGGCACCAGCTGCTCCAAGGCAGTTATCACCGAGTAGGAGGAAGGTTTCTCCCCATGACAGCAGTCAGACCATCAACAGGTTGTCACAGCTCCTCCCTTGGAGTCAGTTAGACTCAGCCCACCACAACCTTAAGAATCCTGGTCTGCTGGGGGTGCTTGGAGCAGGGTCCCCATCTCCTTCCCCATCCCAGCTGTGCTGAGGTAGCACTGAGAGCCACCCCAGGGTTCCCGGGTCCTTCCCCATCCCAGGTGTGCTGTGATGGTGTGGCACTGTGAGCCACCATGTCCCTCCCTGTCCCAGCTGGCGATGCCTAGCCTGGCTCCTCTTGGTCTCCATCTGTGTCCCCACCATCGAGCAGCACCACAGCAGCACTTTGGTTGCTATGGGGCTGATGATCCCATGGGTAGAGCCTCCTACCATGGCTGCTGAGTTGTCCATGGCACATCCAAGATAACAGATCCCAGCTCGAGGTTTAGCCCTGCTGGGTTATGGCCATGCTGATATAGATGGGAGGAGAGAACCTGGTAACAGGGTGACAACCCCTTCCCCCCACCTGCCCAAACATGTTTCATGCCTAGGCAGAGATGCAGCCCTGAGACTGGCCACAGGACCAGTCCTGGCCCCTGGCATGAAGGGCAGGATTGTGACCCCGAGAGTGAGGCAGGACGATGCTCACCAGGCTGTGTCTCTCCTTGCAGGCAGTGCCAACGGCCCCACATCCAGCAAACACGCGCCCATCGCCGAGTCCCTCTCCTGCAGCTTTGTGCCTGAAGCCACAAGCGGGGGGACGGCACCCCAGGAGATCGGCTCCCGCCAGCCCCTCTCGGCCCCACTGAGGAAGACCTTCAGTGACCTCGGGGCCCGCTGCTGCCAGCCACCTGCTGCCATGGATGGGGCAGCCACCCCCTGTGCCAGCACCTGCAATGGGATGCAGGGCACCCCTTTCTCCCCACCCTGGAGCGCCCTGGGCTACGGGAGCCCCCCCAGCCCCACCACCGGCCTGGGAAAGGGGCCCACCTGCACCTC